AAGTATGTACGAGACTGGAACATTTCAATGATAGCTACTTTAATTCCTGCTAGCGCTTCTATCAGCATCGGCACCTCTTCCACACGCAACACATCCTGTCCCAATTGCCCTCGACTAGAAAACAATTTATATTTTTTAATTATAAGCTTAATTTTAAACAAAACAAATTTCATACAATCCGTTGCCCCAACTATAGATATCACCGTTGGCGCTAAGCAGCAGTGCATGTTCGAACCCACATATCAATTGTCGCACGCGAAAGTGCTTTGCAAATTGATGAATTTTGCTGGGCACGCTATAGACTGCATTTGTCGCACTAACAGCCGCTGTGATATTAGAGCCGCACGCGATGTGGGTGACGATAAAGCATTCTTCTTTATTTACTGTTGACTTCGGTTCGCCGAAAATCGAACGTTTTTGGGTAAACGAATGCACTTCAATTTCAAGCTTCACCTCTTCCAGTTTCGCTTCTATTTCAGGGCGAATTTTAAATAGTTTACCATTTTTACATAGCACCAGACAGAATCTATCACAAGCAGCCAATTGTGTAATGATCTCTGCAGTTTGTACGCATATTGTGGTATTGGGTTTACTAGATAAAAAGCCACGCAGCACGAGCTTATTTTCTGTGGCGTAGGCAGCGTAACTCCAACTGACTGCTATAAGCGAAGTACTTTGTTGTTCGGTCATTAACTTTTTTAAACAGATATCTGAAAATAAAAATATAAAAGCAAAATAGCAGCATAAAAAACATAGAAAAAACATCGCACTCTCATTTCTTTACTGCACCTGTAAAAGCGTTTCCGCTTCGCTGACGATTGTGGCCGAACTGGCCAAAGCCATTGAAGCCACTAAAAGCAAACATGGATTTCATTTGTAAACTGAACAAATTTGTCTCTCCAAAATAGTTGATGATGCTTACTCATGCGGAGGGTAGTAAGCACAACCTTCAGACAGTACAATAAATAATCTGTTGTCTAGATACGCAGTTCAAACATGAAAAGTAGAGCGCCATTGTATTTACCCGCTGCTTGTGTGCCTCCGCCACCCAACCTTTGTCAATTTATGAACCGCGTCGTTGTTTCCACTGCTCCCTTGTCACTTGCGAACTCTGATTCCCCGCAACATATAGACCTATGTAAATACGTCAGAAATGGTGAATCGTATGATGCGTCCGTTGTTTGCCCTCTCAGTTAGTGTACATTCATATGCCGATAGAAGCGGTTATATTTCCCTTTGCATAATTCGCGCTCAGACAGAAAATATTTACTGCAACATAAAACTTTAGTATAGTGAAGAAAATATATATCCACAGATAGCAAGCTGTCGCCTCATCTCTTCAAGAAATGGCAAGTAATGGGGAATGTGTAAATAGATGTGAATATTACGAAACATACCATTTCGGTGATTTGCCAATAAACTGCGATATCGGAAATTGTGAAATTTTAATTTTCGTTTGTTTATTTCGTTTGCGTTGTCACGGAAACGCTGCAACTTCCTGGAGCGGAACGGCTATCGCTATTCCCCAAGAACGATGTTTACATGAATGCATCAGCTGTTTGCCACTGTGCGCTGTCAAAACAGTGGTTATCCACAATGTTGTGGATTACATTTGTGGAAGATGTGTTGTGTTGTGTAAAAGACGGAAGTGAAATTAAATGTCGTTATTAATGTACAATTTTAAAATGCAAATGGAAAGTGTATAGTGAAGAATTGTTCAAGTGTTTTTAAGAACAAGTTATTATGCATATGAGAAGGTGTATTGGAATTTATTAATAGTATGCCAGTGAATGCATCAACGTTTTATGTTATTAGTAGTGCCGCTACAACAACACCAACAAGAAATGCTCGTACTTACTGGCTCCAATCACAGCTATGGAACTACGGAACGGAACTACGGAATTTTTAATGATGTTGGTTTCTTGGAAGAGATTTCAGTGAATCATTTAAAGAGAGCTAACGCATGAATAAAACTGATTTTTATATGGAAGAAAATGCGCAACACCCTCCACAAAAAAAAAATCGAAAAAATTAGTAGTAACTTTTAGCGACTTGAGTCTTGTACTTTATTATATGAAAATTTAATGGGAATCTTTTTAGGAAAAGTTATTTAAAAAAACGGAATTTTAATTAACATTTTTTTTTTTTAGTTTAATAAGTTTTTGTGAATTTTGTGCAAGCTTTGAAATTTTCATTTATGTGGTATCTGATATAGATCGACCCATATTATAAATTAAAATTGTTAAGAATAAAAAAATAAAGATAAATTACCAACAGCATCATTTTTAATTTCGCTGCTATTATTTTGACCGCAGCTCTTATTTCTCATTTGTCCCGTTAAATTTTTGTAAATCCCGTATTTTCGGGACAAATTATGCTATTGTCCCGTAAGGCTGGAAAAAAATCTGCCAATACTAGTCCATACATATAAAAATATGTATGTATGTTCGGGGTTTCCGCCGGGATTCAAAATTTATTATATTTTAAGACTTGCACCAAAATATTTCGTGATAATATTAAAACTTACGAAAAATGTTTGATGCCGGTTTTTTAACTTTTTTCAAAGACTAGTTTAAGAAAAATTTTAATAACTGAGTTTTTTCGAATAAAAAAAGTTTTTTTAAAATAGTTTTTTTTTAAATAGTTTTTTTTTTAATAAAAATAGTTTTTTAAATGGCAAACCTCCGGGTGTGTTTCTGACAATGAAAACAGCTTCTCATAAAAATACAATCGCTTTTCGGAGTTTGCGTAAAATGTAGGCCCCCTCTTTGTGTGACAACATGCAGGTGCACGTCACAAATCGAAGGTGAAGCTCGGCGAAACACTATCATATCGTGTAAGCACCAATCTATTATTATTAGTCCCGAACTGGCCCCGAATAAGTCCTGAACTAATCACGAACTAGACCAGAAATGATCCCGAATTAATTACGAAATGGTGCCGATCAAGTGCTGAACTATTCTCGAACTAGCCCCGAACTAGGCTCGAAATCGGACGGTAAAAGTCCCGAACTAGCAGTGTTGCTCATTTGTACTACTTCTGAATTCGTCTTGGTTTACACGTGCCGGTTTACGCTAATTTTGCCCTTAACGGGAGCAAAGATGTTTACACATCAAAAATGTAAACGACTTCGTTGTTCTTGAAAACGGTGCATTTTTAATTTGTCTTGCTTCCTACATATATCAAAATGTAATGTTTATTACCTAATAAGGTAGATCTAGCAACTTTTCACTCTAAGCTGGCTTAAAGGCTTTATTCCCTTTATTTATTTTTTTAAATGTTTTTCTGATTTATTTTTTCTCTGCAGGTTTACTATTTAAGCATGTACACATACATATATCTAAAAAATTTATCTTATTATTGTATACACTTTTTTGTTCTACATATTTCAGGGTTTATTATCTTTGTTAAGAAAACTACGCCCCAGCCCCGACAAAGAAGCCAGAATACTGTTACTTGGCCTAGATAATGCTGGCAAGACGACAATTCTAAAGCAATTGGCATCTGAAGAAATTTCTACGGTAAATTTTGTTTTGTATTAACTATTTAACGAATGATAACATTTCGATTAGTGAATAATATATGTACGTGCGTACTTACATATGGTTAACTCGTTGACCACAGGTAACGCCAACAGCTGGTTTCAACATAAAATCCGTGGCAGCCGATGGCTTCAAGCTCAATGTCTGGGACATTGGCGGTCAGTGGAAAATACGGCCTTACTGGAAAAACTACTTTGCCAACACGGATGTATTGGTAAAAAAAATAGAATAATAAAGTAGTTAGAAGAAGAAATAAAAAATCCACATTTTCCACTTTTTTCGCATAGATTTACGTAATTGATTGCACCGATCGTGAACGTTTATCCGAAACTGGCCGCGAGCTCTTCGAACTACTTATGGACAATCGTCTCAAGCAGGTGCCATTGTTGGTGTTCGCCAACAAACAGGATCTACCAAATGCGCTTACCGCATCTGAGGTAGCCGAAGCGGTGCAATTAGTGCGTTTAGAAGAGCGCACCTGGCAGATAATAGGCTGTTCAGCCGTCGACGGCACTGGCATCAAAGTGAGTAGCAAGAATGCAAACGAAATACATACATACATATGTGCATGCAAGTATACTTATATGCGTATACGGAAAGTCTTCATTGCGTTGTTTTTTACCATTACAGGATGGCATGGATTGGGTCTGCAAGAACATGAAGAAATGAACAAACTTCATTTCGTTTATTTGTAGTAGTATGATGAACATAGCATGTATGTATGTACATACTAAGTAGTATGCTATGTACTAGCTTTTGAACAAGGAAAAAGTACAGTAATCAATGGAAATTTTAATGTAGATTCTCCTAAATATGTATAAGTATTTTAGAAAGTAGATATGTATATGCGCGTGCAGCTCATAATTTAATAAAATTTATTTGGTTTTACTCATAGGCCACTAATAATAGAAATTACTCATTACTGATTACAAAAATAAAACACGTCAAACTCTTTTATCAAACTAAACTGAGTAGTTGTAGTGGTTGAATAGTTCCAAAAACTAAAAACATTGGCTCATAAATAATGAAACAGTTCTGCCGTCTTATCCTCTTCGAGGCAGGCAGTGAATATGGGGTTGCCAACTATAGCGATCACAGACAGAATGATCAGATAGATAGAGATATAAACGGAGTAGGCACTGGTACCAATAGGTCTTTTGTGTCCTCATCAAAACCCTGCATATAGCCGTATACACTCTATAAATTTTTGAATAGATCCCGGGGGTAGGGAGTGTATATGATCTTCTATTGACCATAGATATTCTATGCACCTCGCCCTTCTCCGTGAAATGGACTCAGGCTCCAGGAGGAGTAGGAACAGCAATACAGATCGCTTGACCAGATCCATAGCTTATGCATGTAGCCTCTTAACCTGCAATGACCCGTCGAAATACCTATAATCATTTGTAGATAGTAGCCCCCTAGTAAGCTCTTAGCCTTACGAATACCCATGGTGTTTCGCCAATGCAGTTCTCTCAGTTTGGTATTTTGCTTTCCGATTGTTTCCTTTATCGTGTTAGGACCTACCACAAGGAAGGAATCAGGTGCTATTGGGCTCGAGGTAGCAGCCATTCTGGCTAACTAATCAGCTTCCTCATTTCGTTCGGTTCGACTCCCTTGTGCCCTGGTGCCCATATATGTACGTTAGATAGCATTGTCCTCAGCAAGAGCATTTAGCTTTTCTATGCACTCCATAGCCAATACTTGACATCGAAGAATTAGAGAGCCATAAGTGTGCCTGATTATCACTTAGTATAAGGATTCTTTCACTTCGACGACCTCTACAAAGATTAATCTCTGCGCACAGACTAATGACATACACTTCCGCTTGAAGATGCTTGGAAAGGTTACCAAGTACCATATACACCTGCCCCAATACCCTCAGAGACCTTACAGCCGTCGGTGTGCGAACTAGTGTGCTCGCCTGGATGTGTATTTTCATAATAGCGGTACTGCGAGTGCCTTGTTGTATATATTAACTTAAAGCTTTTTTTCGAAAACAGATCGTCTCTGGGGAACAGAGCTATTGGAAGCTGGGAGCTGCAGTAAGTCGAGTTCAAGAATTACCTCCAGTGCTGCCGTCGGACATATTCGTATAGCCCCCGTAATGCAAACACACGCCAGACGTTGAATTTGGTGGGAACTGCCTTACCTTTGTCAAAGTAGTCCTGGAAACCCAAGCTCCAGACATATAGGTTACTATTGGTCATACTATTATGGTGTACATCCATCTTTGGACCTTGGGGTGCATTCTTAGGATTTGCACACCACCAGCTCTCCCGTAGTCTGGTAGGTGGCCGCCTCAACATGAGTTGAGAATTATTTTCATGTAAAAGAGACGGTGACGGTCTTAGAAGGAAGCATACCACCTTTTTGCTAGATTAAGTCCGCTTTGAACCACTTCGCAGAGGGTAGCGCGGACGCCATTTTCGAGAGTAACTTCAGGAGTTCGTCCACAACTAGACTCACAGTAGAGGAGGCATAACCTTTTGTTGTCATAGACTTCGGTTTCAGCAATCCTGGTATATAGTAGCCTAGCTATTCGTCTACGAATCAGAGGCTGCATATTGCGTTTTTCAAGTAGCCTCGATGGCCAAAACACCTCGCAACAGATGCATAGTTGATAATGGGTTCTATCAAAGGAGTCGAAATCCATAGGATTCTGCTAGGCGGTATGCTCCAGTGTTATTGTCAAAGATCATGCTGTTAAGGCTTTGGAGGTATTTCGTTCAATGTGAAACTTCCATAAAATTGTCCGTCTAGATGATAGCACCAAAATTATGCAAATGTAGTAGTAGGGGAAAAGACCGTAAAACTTTCCTTTAAGTAAAGAGCACATAACTAGTCGGTGGACAGCCCATGGAAAGGGATAGATAATAGTTGAATAAAGCACTGCATCCAGTAGGTTATTGTGCCCATTCTGCGTATACAATTACAACCATATTTAATGTCCTTTGCGCTTTTCTGTAAACAAATGAGAGAGAAAAGCTTATAATATGTAGGCATGTAGCTTATCTCCTTAAAGTTATTTATTGTTAACTTACCAACCTTGGGGATAAAAGTGACGTCAACTGAACTCCATGATTGTGTTCTGTAAGCAAGTCAAATCAAATTCTCAGCACTTTCTTTGAGCATAATAAGCAAAAGCTCTGATCCAATACTTTTCGTGAAAAATCCTGTAAAACTGTCAAAGAGCAAAATTACTATCTGAAGTGAGAGTAAAAAGTGAGTAACAACAAAAAGTACGGGAACAAAAAATCCATTTTTCCTGTAAAAACATCAACCAGTGATTGCTTGACACTTTTCATGATTTTACCAGAAGAAAAAGTTCGGGTAAAATCTTGCAACTTCATTCTCTACACAACTCTCCAAAAGTTGCTCTCATTTACAGGATTTTGGAGGATTTTGGAGTACGGGAACATTTTTCCTGCAACTTCCTGCAAGTTCGTGTAAAATCCTGTAAGTTCATGGAGTACTGGATCAGAGCTAAAATGCCTCCGTAAACTATACATCTTGTAAACTAGAGAGATTAGTATTCAGATCGGTCTGTGTATCAACCAACGAAATTAAATGCAAAAACAGAATAGCAAAACTGAGCGATATGATAATTCAAATGTTAGTTACCTTCAAAATAGGCAGTTACGTAACCATAAAATCAAAAGAATTGTTAAAATTTACGTATGAATAATTTATATTTTCTTAATATTTAGCGGCTAAACATTTATTTAAAGTACGTTTAAAAACTAGCTAATATTAACTATAATTATGCAGCCACAATCAATTTGCATTCCTATCGCAGCTTTGTAGATCAACATCACATCCACAGCTTCCTTTTTTTTGTTGTTGTTGTAAACTTCACCTTTCCATCGCATCCATTTACAACTCATTGTGTACATATTCAGTGGTCACTTTAGCCTCGCCCTCATGGAAACCGCTGCAATCGACTGGATATTTGACCTAAAATGGAATGGAAAAAGAAAGAACCACGTAATACACACATATTGACACACATATTGACACATTAGCAAGCAAGTGAAAGGCAAACATTCAAATGTATGTAATCGTTATCAAAATTGTTTAACTAACTCAATAAAAAAACCCGAAACTATGTCGCATCGCATTCTGCGAGTTAAGCGAAGACGCTGCTAACTTTGCCGTATGCTTATTTATTAATTCGATGTGCTTACCTCACAGTTGTGTGGCGCATTTATCACGCCAAACAATGTCCAGAACGGTGTGCCAGTTTCGGTGCTAATGAATATAGCGGCTCCCATGCTGCCGATTTTCACAATCTTCGGACTGACACCTGAAATCAGGCCACGCGCATTGCTGCCAACTGCATTTTGCTCGGGCGAATTTAGTTCACAGAATACGTAACGGTCACATTGTGGCGATTTCGAGATAAATCTGTAGGCGCGATGTACTTTGAGAACGGGCTCGATGACCTGCAGGTGGACGCATAAATACATATTTATGTAGTAGTAAATAAAAAAAAGTACTTATTTTCAGAATGACTACAACAGGTGTAATATTTGTTATAAAAATTTCCCAGGCTTTTTTAGAATATTTCAAATTACATTAAAATTAATTTTAAGGTGAATGACACAAAAGCACATGGTTCCGGGGACTTGACCATAATCAGTGCCTTGCAAAAGTATTTTGGCATTGATTTTTTTTATGATTTTCAAAATATTTTTCATAGTATATTTTTTTCGTTAATTTTGTAATTGTAAATCAAAAATTCAAACTTTGGATCACTTTGCACAAAATTAAATTAACTTCAGCGAATTTTCAACAAAATTCCAAACATTTTAATCATAATATGAAAATTTTCTTGTATGGAAGAAAATACACAACAATGTCCGCAAAAAAAATAATAATAATCAACGCGTTTTTTTATAACTTCAGCAGACGTGCACTTTACTAAAATTGAATGTACTATAAAAGTCGAATTATNCTCTTCTACTCACCTCCAAATTGAGTGTATCTGTTAGTTTGTCACTCAGTTCGGTAGCATTGAACTGCAGTAGACCTCGCGCTTGACCCAATTTCAGCAATTCTTTGGCATAGCCCACAGCCGGTTTGACATATTGGCGCGAGTCGATCTTTACATTGAGATGATGCTTGGCCACATGATCGAACAAATTTGATATGGTCTCGCTGGCGCGACTAGGATCGAAGAAGGTACTCTTAGGATAACCTTGAGATTTCAGAAAACCATTGAACATCAATTGCGCTGTCTGGAAATATCTGTGTAGCGAAATAAGTAAAAAAAAAAACAGAAATTATTTTTAATGACTTCGTGGAAATGAAAATAAACCCAATTGTTAAAATGATAAAAAAAAATTAGTGCCTAAACGCGTACATAAACATACATACAGACATATACACTCATTTAAAGAGGTGAACGTATATGTATACATAGGTGGTAAAGGGAAATTACGCGGTTCACTCGCAGCCAAAGTGAAAGTCAGTTACAATATTGTGAATAGCAGCAGTCACTTTTTATTTCAACTGCCCGCATTCTACCAAAAAGTAATTTTGTATTTTTCCCCCATTTATTTATTGGCTGCTGGAAATTGTTTCTCCGCTTCACTGGTGAAATTTTAACCAAAGGAAAACAAGAGTTGACCACATAATCATTATGAATCATTGATGAAATATTTTTTTGATCAGTTCGTTTGAAGGTACATATGTACATACCTATGTATG